TATTTATTAAAAGATGCAGCTCTTTGATTTATTGATTCTTTGTATTTTAAGTCAATTTTATTTATTTCTGCTCTGATATATTTTTTTCAAATTTAAATTGAATTTATTGGTACATTCTAGGTATGCAGTACAGTTACATTCATTACTGGGATCTTGTACCTTTACATGCCAGGTCTTGGTTCTCATTTTTCCCCTTGTCCCCACTATGCTAGCTTTGGATTTGGATTGTTGTTTTGCTAGGACCTTGAGGTGCATCTTGGTTATGTTTTGAACTGGCTCTGTTTTTCTGATGTGGACATTCACTGTTAAAACTTTTCTCTTAGGACTGCTGTCTTTGTGTCCCATAGATTCTGGTATGTTATACTGATATTATTTGTTCGATTCTAGGAACTGTCTAATAACTTCCTTATTTTATTTTAGTCTCATTCATCACTCAAGAGGATATTGTTTAATTTCCCCATATTTGTATAGTTTCTGTGGTTTCTTTTGCCATAGATTTCTACTTTCAGTGCAGTATGATCTGATAATATGCATGAGATAATTTTCATTCTTTTATATTTATTTAAGCATGCTTTATTGGCTATATATGTATGTATATGGTCTATTTTGGAGAAAATCCCATGTGCTGCCAAGAAGAATGTGTATTATATTGTTGAGTGGAACACATTTCTTCAAAGGTTTGTTTGAACTCTGATTTGTTTTTATTGATTCTTTGTCTAGATGATCTGTCTGTTTGTAGCAATGGGCTATGAAGGGTCACAGTTATAATTGTATTGATGTTTATTTGTTTTTTGTCTGTTTTGTTTTTTACTTTTGTTTTAGGAAGTTTCCTGTGCCCGTGTTTGGTGCATAAATGTTTATATTTGTTATCTCTTGCTGTTAAATTGTTCCTTTAAGCAGAATGTAGTGATTGTCTTTCTCTTTTGATTAACTTTGGTTTGAGATCCACTCTGTCTGGATTTAAAATAGCCACTCCTGCTTTTTTCTGGGCTCCTATTGTATGGAGTAAGGTTTTCCTTCTTCTGATTTTTGTATGTGAATTTCTTTTTAAATTAAATGTGTTTATTTTATATTGCATATTGTTGGGTTTTGTTTCTTGACCCATTGTGCCAACCTTTTGATTGGGGTTAAGATCATTCACACTGAGAGTTATTACTGAATGGTATTGACTTTTTGCTGTCATTGCATTATTCTGTTGCTGTTTCCTTGTTTTTTTTTCTTTTGCTTAGTTGCTCATCCTGCCAGGTCTATTCATTCTTTTTAATTTGTTGGCATTGCTGGCTTCATTGTCTTTCTAGGATATCCTTGAGAAGGTTTATGGAATGCTGCTTTGGTGTTCAGGAATTCTTGTCATGCTCCTTGTCATGGAAATACCTTGTTTCTCCACCAATTTTTGAGGAATGTTTTTCAACTTACATTACATGGAGTTGAAAATTGTTATCTTTTAGGGCTTGAAACATTTCACTCCTAAACTTGTTTACCTTCAATATTTGCATTGAAAACTCTGCTATAATTCTAATGGGTTTAAATTTTTATGTGATTCTTTGCCTTTCTCTAACAACTTTTCAGATCTTTTTCCCTGTGATGGACTTCTGGTACTTGAATAGTATGTGGTATGGAGAATCTTTGATCCTGGCTATTTGAGGTCTATATGCCTCATTCATCTGTATGTTTATTGCTTTCCCTATTATGGAAATTTGTCTGCCATTTTTCTGTGAACAGGTTTTTCATGCAATTTGTCTTGTGTTCTGATTTTCCACATATTCCAATTACTCTTGGATTAGTCTTTCTCACATTACCTAACTAACACCTGTTGGATCTACTTTTCTTGTTCTTTTATTGCTTTTAAAGTGGTTTTGAGTAGTTGGTCTTTGTAGAAATCATTGTCTTCTAATTCTAAAATTCTGTTCTCACATTGATCACTTCTGCTGCCCACATTTTCAGTATCATTTTTAGTCTACTGAATTTCTGATTGAAACTTTTTCTTGCACTTTTAATTCTTTTATAAACTCGTCATTCATGTTTTATTTTGTTAGCTTGTCTAGCTTTTTTATTAGTGTCTTCTGAAAGCTCCTGGGTCATTTTGGTTATTACTTAAATTACCTGTTTTTTCTTCTGTGATACTTCTTTGATATGTTTTCTAAGCTCATTTGTTATCATTTTGAGTACTTCATATGCACAGTTTATGCTGTTTTCCCCTTGACCTCCCCTGGATTGGCTTTATGGGAGTTAGAATTTGGAGAAGTAATTTGTTATCTTGTCTTTTCATGCTTTTATTGTTTTTGTTTTGTTTTATGCTGAGGTTTGTGAATCTTATAGTATAAAAAAATTGTTGCTAGAATACCTTTTAGCGACTTTTCATTGATGGATTTTGGTGGTTTGAGTGTACTGATGATCTTGAAAGGTCATGGTTCAGACAGTGCCTTTACCATCTATAGTTCCTACTTCTGGTAGATTAGGATCCTGATCACACTGAAGAGATAATCATGCAAAACAGTCCTCTTGGGTTTGTATCCTTTCCCAAAGTCCTTATGTGGTCCTCTCACTGTTTATTTAGGCTAACACTCTGGAAGTATCCCTTTATTATAACCTCAGTAGCATGAGGGTGCCATTTTTCCCTTTTTCTCTTGTTTAGCCTGGAACTCCTGTCCCTCTGTCCTCCTCTATTTTTGCCTTCCTCCTTACTTTTCCACCTCTCTGTCCAATTCCACTTTTTCTTTCTTTCATCTACTGTCTGCTAGAGTGACCTGTGTTATGTGGACATAGCTCCTTCCTCATCTTGTTGGTTTTAGGAGATCATGTTTGTAGCACAAGGCCATGGAGGCCTCTCCAACCTTTTCTGTACTTGAGTAGTGTTGAGGGTCTCCAGTAGAGTTCTTTTAATGTTCTCAAAGTCCACCCAGATGTTAGTTGTGAATTAGTTATGATCATGAATGCAGTGATTCCAAATGATTGCACCTCTAGATCATAATATTAAGTGAAATAAATCACTGCACAAGTTTAAATATCACATAGATTCTCTTATATGACAAACCCAAAATATAAATAAGGAGCAAAAGAAGATAAATAATAGAAAATGAGGAGATGGATATTTTCCAAAGGGAAAGGGTATGACGAGATGGAAGGAGGGGGTAGGAGGTAAAGGGAAAGGAATTTAAAAAAAAGAACTAAGATGTATTATGTGCATGTATCGATTTCCCATGAGGAATGTAATCATGTATTGCAAGCATATATTTTTTGCTTTTTGAGACAGGGTCTTTCTAGCTGTGTAGCTCAGGCTGGCCTTGAACTCACTATGTATCCCAGGATGGCCTCAAACTTGTGGTGATTAAAGGCATGTGCCACCAGTACCAGCTAATATTTTTTTTTTTTGGCTAAACAAGAGAACCTAGAACCTTGCACATACTAGGTAAGCATTCTACCATTGAGCTATATATCCCCAGCCCAACATGTACAAATAAATAAAAGTTTAAAACAAAAATGATCTCAAAGCCTTCCACTCGGTACAAGTGGAAAGCTCCCCATGCAAGCAGAGAATTTTCAAAGTTGAACAAAGAGTACTTTTTTGGAACTGGGGAATGAACTATGGAACTTTAGAGAGAGCTACATCCCTAGCACTTTTGTTATTTATATTTAGACACAGGGTTGTGGTAAGTCACTAATTTTTATAGGCTGGCCGGAAACATGAAATTCTCCCTCCTCTGCCTCCTATAGTACTAGAATAACAGGCATATGCCACCACAACCTGTTCAGGAAGCACTTCTTAAAGATTCCCTGTGCCTTTTTCTCCCATCCAGTTGTGTACATAAGACAGTATGTATGTGCATTCTGTCACTACCATTTCTGCATGACTAAAGTAACTCACACAGGTAGGTTCCACAGAAGCAGATACCCACACATACACCAGCAGTAACTGCCCCTCCACAGATTCCATTTTATATACTGTGACACATACACATAAGGACACATAGGAAAACTAAAGCTCAGGAACTCCACTCTGTTTGACTCTCCCTCTCCACTGGCATATGTCCCCTACATGTACTTTATTAAGCCCAATCTCTTAGCCTGCTATAATAAAGAGTAAGGCAACTGTTCTCTGCTAGATCCAAGACTGGGCCCCACCTAACTAATTTGGCAACTGTGCTCTCATGAAAATGAAGAGTCTGGTATGGGGTAAGCCCAAGGAACAATTTTGAAAGTAGAGTTCTGCAAAACTCTTGATAAAGAGAGAACCCTTAGTTGGAGTAGGAACATAATAGAGACCATGAGCCTGTAAAATGGTCTACCTCAGCACCTCTGTAAGTCAGGCCTGCTCACAGGCCAACTTCAGTGAATTTGGCCATCTGACAAAAACTTCCTTTTTTATTCTAATCTTGCTATGGAATAAATATTGTCTGTTATTGTGCATTTTAAGAAAATAGTCTGTAAGTTACTGTAGGTATTGTAATACAACTTAATAGAGATTAAATGGAAGAGATAAAGAACTGACAGTTCAGAAAATATGAATTGTACATGGCTGATAAGCAGTAAGTTTGTTTGACTGCATTACTGAGCAATCATATTTGCAACAAACTCTCCATAATCTCTAGCTTCATAAATGATAGCGTGAAGTACACATTCTCTATAAAATTGCAGAATTTTGATTTATTTTTCCAATACAAATTTTTTAGCATATGCAATTTGAGTTGTATACCATTTTTAGAATTATAAGATATACGATGTTTCGAATTATAAGAATAGTCTCATATATAAACAAGTTAATTTTCTCACTTTTAATCAAGAAAAGTTGAGTCATTCTCAGTGCAACAGAGGAACCTTTTAATCTCTTAAGCTCTCATACAACCTAGTATTTTGAGATAGATGAAGTATTAATATATTTTGATATGAAAATAATTTAGTTCTTAATTGAATAAAAACAAATTGCTTTCATATCTTGCATTATAATTGCATTTTCATTATAAATTATTAAGTTGTCCTGTTTTTATGTCTTTTCAACTTAGGTTCTAATCAGCATGATTTCTTCTTCTGAATTTGGATGAATTCTAGAACATGAGCAAGATCAAGTTGTAGACTTCTAAGATTGAAGGCCATGACCTGTATCATGGTGAGGTGACCAAAGCAAATAGTGTTCATGTGATGGTCCTGCAGGAGCCAACCAGTGATACTTTTTGATGACACCAAGTCTTTGCTGTATAATTTAAGATTCCATAAATCCACTAAGTTCCCAATAAATTGTGTCTCTCTTTGCTCTGTTAGATGTATATGACTATTTTCTCGTAAAATGTGAATTTAAAGTAAATATTTAAGATTCCCATATATCAAATATTACTAAAATTAGTATCAAAATATGACCTTTGTACAAACTACCATCTGCTCATTCTCTGTAGTGTGACTATATAAGGAAAGGTAGTGGTAAATACATTCTTAAAAAGGAATTAAATTTTTCATATGTTTTCTTTAATTCACTTTAATTTTTCTGTTATCTATATTCTATTTTAAGAATCTTCATCTAATTTATTCTTATTACATCTTAATAATTACCCTGGTCCCCATGATTTTGTGTCGTTTTCTTAAAACTTTCTACCTTCCATCTAAAATGCTTGATATTAAATGTAGTACCCTAATTAAAAACATCTATAATAATCACAGTGAAAAACTATAAGAATGGTAAAATTTTAGTCTAGTTTTTAATATGTCACATAATTCATGAATTTGTTCAGAAATTAGAGATTTATAAGAAAATTGCATATAAGCTATATTAACTGCCTGTCAATGATGTAAAAAAGAGAACTTTTATCTTGTGAATGACAATAAAAGATAAATGTTTTGTAAGCATATAGTGTATCTGAAAATGTCATATAATGGGCCTGTGTATTAAAATACAAAATAATTATGTGATTTGTTCAAATAAGTAACTAAATCTTACTTTAAAAAATAAATATTTAGATAGGTGGTGAAATGTAAACATTTGATTGGACTCACTGAATTTCATTACTGGCCATAGAATCAAAGAATCTGAAAAATCATAAACTGACATGACAATCATGTATATTCCAGAATAATATTATACCTAATTAATATGTTGTAATCAGTTACTTTAAAGATAGTATGATACTATAGTTACACTTTAATGTTTTAAAACTACGGAGCCCACCCAAACATCACAAAAATAATCACAGATTTCTTGTTCAAAATAACATTTCATGAAAGGGATTTCTTAGATCAGAAGGCTCAACATTGTAAAGAGGACAAGCTCCCCCAAATATTCATTGCCGTTCCTTTGAAAATTCAAGTTACTTTCTTTGTAGACATTTTCAAGCTGGTTTGAAGTCATATTGCAATGCAGTATGGCCAAAATAGCCAAAATAATTTTGAACTATTCAAAATTGGAGAACTCACATTTCCAAATTTTAGAACTCATGACTGAGGTACAATGAATAAATTTGTGTGGTACTAGCATGACAATAGACATTAGTTAGTGAGGTAGAATTAAAAATCTAGAAATAAACCTTTTCTTTTTACAGAAAAGTTTTGAGCAGTGAGTTGAGTCTAGACTGATGGGGGGAAAAGAGTAATATTTCCAACAAATGGTGTCAGGGCAACAGGATATCCAAATGCAAAAGATGTTAGACTCCTTCACAAAAAACACAAAAAGGAACTGAAAAAAATTATCGAAAACCTAAATATAAGAAATATAAAAATCTTAAAAAGAAATATAAGAATAAATATTGGTGACCTCAAGTAAGTCATTGTTTTTTTAAGAAATGACACCAAAAGCAAAAGCACAAGTGAAAAAAGAAGAAATAGATAAGTTGGACTTAATTGAAATGAAACATTTACTTCAAACAACACCACCAAAATAATGAAAAAATACATGGAATGTAAGAATAGCTTTTCAAGTAATATATCTCATAATGGACTTACATATAGACTATATAAAGGATATATTTTAATAGTGAAAAGGAACCCAATTAAAAAGGAGAGAATCTAAATAGACATACTAAAAAGACTTGCATATATCAGATACTAAAAGATATTCATAAGCATTAATCATTAGGGTAATGCAAATTGAAACCACACTCTGATGTATACCTCATAAAACTTAAAAAAGAATCAAACAGCAATGGCACAGGGATGTTTATACTGACTTTATTCATATAGCCAAATGTGGAAATAATCCAAGTACCCATCAATTGATAAATGGAAAACAATGTATATTAATACTATTATTAATTTGGCCATAAGAAGGTAAGAAGTACAAATGAATGAGTTCAGTGCCCAAGGAGAGAAGCTAAGTCCAGATGGTTGCCAGCTCCATTGAAAAGCAATAGATTACACCAGTGTGCTAGTTTGAAGAAAAGCCCATGACTATTGTGAACTACAAAAACAGTGTGGGAGGCCAGAATATAGCTCAGCAATGCAGGACCTACCTAGAAAACATGAGTCCCTGAGTTTGATTCCTGGTTAAAAAAAATCCCCTTAAAAAATAGTCTGGGGTTTCACTCTGAAAGTGACTCCTTCCACATGACAGACTAGAATTGGAAGAGAAATCCAATATAATACACCATATTGGAGAAAGTTTTATCTGGAGCAGTTTTTGGAAATGGTTAATTGTTTAAAAACAAACTTCAGAGTTTCCAGTGTTGCACAATCACAGTGATTAAATGAGAAAGACACACACACACACACACACACACACACACACACATTGTCATGGAGAGGGTCGTGGTCCAAACTAAGACCATCTAAGAAGTTTAAAATCAGGCCAGGAAGGAAAAGATTCTCCACACTCCGTGGTGAGGAGCCACGCCCAGCATGTGTGGTTTTCAGAGGAGACTGGATCCAAAAGTATGCCAACCAATCTGCTTGAATTCCTGCACTGATGAATACTTCCAACATAGAGATTGTTTCCTCCATCCACCAATGTGAGCAATGGCATGCTTGAGCCTGAGGGTTGCCACCACCTAGGATGCAAACCAGAGGGGCATCTGGAGCAAGGGGGCATTTCAGAAACCCCACATGCTGTAAGTCTAAGACAAGAACATCAGGACTTGCTGGATTGCAAGACTACAGATTTTGGGCAGAAATCACTTATTCAAAAATACTGAGGAATGATATTGGACTTTTTTCTTCATCTTTTGGGGGGAGATATTTTTCTTTGTTTTCTTCACATGCTTTATTTTTCTTTTTCCTTTTGTTTCTTTTTTTCTGTTACTTTTGTCTAATTGTATTGTCTTACCCTTTAATAGCAACCTTTATCTTTTTTCTCTTCCTCACCTTTCATTGCTTAAGTTTTCAAATTTTGCTATTCTGTTTCCTACCTTTTCTATATTTACTAGTATAGATATTAAGCTTTATTAATCTTTAGGTATTAGTTAACTCTATAATATTACTGTTGGATACTTACCTATTGTCAGTGGAGGTATAGTTGTCATACTCAGGTATTTACTGTATATCAATTGGTTTGTGTAAGTTTTTATACTGTAATTAGATCGTTTTTATGTGGTTCAAGAATGTGTATTATTGGTTCTTATGGTATGTCAATATTCACTTTTTCTTTAGTGCTGTTGTTATTATTGGTAGGGTGGCATACTTGTCACTAGTGGTTTTATTTGTATGTCAATGTCTGGAATGCCTTTTAGCCATTAATAATAGTGTTATCCATTCCCCAATAACTGAGTGTTGGATCAATTACAGTGCATCCTCTCTTTCCAAATTAAGTGAAGTAGTTGGAACTTAGGACAGACTCAAAGGCCTATAAGCCATACCTAGAGTGTGTAAAGAAAATTAAACACTAAAAAGATGTGATTACTATCAACAAAGTCATTCCACTATAACCAACCCATAAACCTCAGGGGAAAATGAACAAGGCAACAAAATACTTCCTCAAACTCTCAACTTTCCCACAGCTGATCCATGGGGCATCAAGAGGAGGAAATCAAGACATACAGCTGAATTAACTAATAAAAGAAGGGATTAAAAATGGATCAATACATGATAAGGTATTATGGCTTGTATCTAGATATCCTGCTATCCCAGTTTCTTGCACTCATGGGTGGGGCATTTCAGAAGTGCCTGGTTTTATGGTGTGTGAATGTGTGTGGATTAAGAGTGTGATACTGGGATTAAGGTAGATAAAGGAGACCCACACTGTGTGTGAGTAGCACCAATCAATAGGCTTTTGGCCTGGATGAAATGTAAATGGACAGAAAGAAGGCAGGCTATGGCTTTTGCTGCCTCCAATCAGCCATGCTATGAAGTTTTGTTTCTCCTCTTTGAGGCCCTTCTGCCTTGCCACCCTGCTTTGTAGCAAGCTGACTGAACTGAAATCTCTATAAAATATGAGATGAACTAAACCCTTCCTCCTTTAAATTATGGGTATCTGGTACTGTCTAACTGACAAAAAAGTAAATAAGATAATTGGGGAGCTTGAAGACATAACAAAAGTTAATGAATTTAAACATTTATTACTGAGTTTAAAGAAGATGCTAATTGGAAAGCTACCCGAGCTAAAAAAATTTGCAAAACATGAATGACTAGTTTAGCAAAGATTTGCAGTCTATGAAAATAAAGTGAAATCTAAGAAATTCTATTGAAAGTATGGTCAGCAGAAGTGATCAATGTGAGAACAGAGTCACAAATAGAAAATAGGGCTAATGGTGACCAATTACTAGGAGATATCTTGAAAACAACATAAAAATCCATAGCTTCTACATGATGCAAAAAGGACTAGTCTAGGATTAATTGGAATTAGTGAAAAATAAAAAAAGATCACAAATGATGTAAAAGACATGCTTAGAGAAATATTAGAAAATTTTCTAAATAAGAAGAAAGAATTTAGCATATAGTTAAGTGAGGCATGTACAACTCAAAATAGGCATGATCCACAAAGAACCTCTACACAATGCATCACAGATCAAATCTGAGAAATTCAATACACAGAATCTTAAAAACTTAGAACAAAGCAATGAATCACTCATAAAGATAAATGTCAGAATTATAGCAGACTTCTCAAAACAAAATTTAAAGACCAGGAAAGCTTAGAGCCAAAAGTTTCAAATTCTAAAACAAACAAAAACTAACAAAACTACCAACCCACACTGATACATCCTGCAAAACTATCTTTCAGAATTGATGGAAAACTAAGGCATTTCTAAGATAAAGAACATCTTAGAGAATTCATGACCAACATGACAGTACATGAAAATATTGCCAAGGACATTCTAAAAGAAAATGAAGCCAAAAATGCCAAAATGTACAAAAGACTCTATACCAGGCATTAAAGTAGCTAACCAGAAGAAGGAAAAAGAGCATCAGCAACAGAACAGTAATTAGAGGGCAGAAATAAGTCAATATATGTTATGGCTTATATTAAGATGTCCCCCCAAATGCCTATGTGCTCATAGATGAGGCTTTTGGAAGGAGGCTAGATTTTGAGTGTATGATATGAAATTAAGGGCTTGTGGTACTGGATTAGTCCAGTAACTGGTAAAGAAAAAGGAATCACTAGTCCATATTTCAAGTTATATTATGAAGCTACAGTAAAAAAAAAACTGCATGGCACTATACCAAAACAGACACATAGATAAGTGGAACAGAATAAATATTGTAGAAATGACACCAGGCATATTTAACCATCTTGTCATTGATAAAGTGGCCAGAAACGTATTGGAAGAAAGATATCTCTTTAGTAGGTGGTGCTGAAAAAACTGAGTGTGCACACGCAGAAGATTGTATCTAGACCCATACCGCTCACTATGTACAAAAGTAAAATCAAAATGGATCAAATGTTTAAATGTTCAAACAGATACATTTAACCTGTTGGAAGATAAAGTAGGTAAAACTCTTGAAGACATAGGGGCAGGCAAGGAC